TATAGTAATTATTATGATAGGCTTAACTATTGTCAGTACTATATGTTCCTGGATACAGATTTAAACCTGGATTTATATAAATATCTGTAAATACTAAATGTCAATGTACTTTATATGTTTGTGTATTTCAGTGGTGTTCCCTCAGGACCTGCTGGAGAAGGGACTTGGAGCCAGTAACTTTGCAATGTTGGGTTTAGGTGACATTGTGATTCCAGGAATTTTCATCGCTCTTTTGCTGCGCTTCGATGTCAGGTAATATTCTCCGATATTCTCCGATCTGAATAGGTCTAGATGGATGTGCTCAGGTTCAGTACAGATAAATGCTGATGATTTTTGTATTTGTTTGTGTCCAGTCTGAAGAAGAACACCAGGACGTACTTCTACACCAGTTTTGTGGCGTATATCTTTGGTTTGGTTCTAACTATCTTCATCATGCATACCTTCAAACATGCTCAGGTGAGTTTTGGATTTTGTTTTAATAATTACAATGGAGACACTGGGGATCGGCCATTAATTATATGTTTTGCAGTTTAGTCTCTTTAGCCTCTCTGCTATTGAAAATACACACTGCTATTCCGTCCATTGTTGTCACCTTTGTAGGACAATAATACACCCAAAACCCCTTAAAAAAGTTTTGATGTGATGAAAATATCCTTTCTATAAGTGACGCAAGCTTTATGTTTACAATATTCACTTATGTGGACATTTGTTTCTTGCCATGCTCCTTCAAATATAATGCAGTTTTTCAAACTTTTGTATCTCACCTTTGGAAATACCAGATATTGTGCATTATTTTTTTTTAATGTTTTGTTCTTCAAATTACAATAACTTCAAACTACGTCCCAACAGTTACTCTCAAAGGTGCTCTATGTAACTTTTTAGTTGGAGGTCCGTCACCTGTTTGTTTCTATGGATATGTAAATGCCCTTTCTAGAATGTTCCAGTGTGACATTCAACATTTCTACCTTATGTTTTCAATTACAGGTGGTTGTAATTAATATCTAGAAAATAATTTAATACCTCCAAAAATACCTTGAAAAACGTGCATTTTGACTGTGAGCGGGGTTGCCTCTCCACAGATCTGACCTGTCTCTTGGTCTGGTTTACATGAAGATAGAAAGGTTTAATGCCATACTGTGAAACATTACAGACAAAGCAATAACATCTCAATGAAGAAAAGGACACTATCCCAGAAAAGTTACACGATGCACTGTTACTTGAATAGTTTCTTGGATTTTTACTTTTACTTGAGTATAATATTATTTTGAAGTAACATTACTCTTACTTGAATCCTTCTTTTCGTCCTGTAAATCCTGGTGTTTGGGCATTACATCCAACTTGTCTCCAGTATCTGAGCGCACTAGAATGTGGTTTAGTAAATCTGAGTGAAGTTTAAATGGTTCCACGATGTTAATCTCCCCCATAAAAACATCCTGAGTGGTTTTAAGAGTTCTAACAGTTGTAATGCGTCTGTGTGGTTTTGTTGTTCTGTTGCAGCCTGCACTCCTGTACCTGGTTCCAGCCTGTGTGGGGTTCCCTGTGATTGTGGCTCTGCTCAAAGGAGAACTCACAGAAATGTTCAGGTGAGTCCTCGCAGCAGCTTTAAATCTTCTGAGTGATCCACAGTTAAACTTCTTATCTAGGGAAGTCAACATTATAGTGTAAAATGTCACTTTCACAGTAATACATGGATTTTGCCTGACCACTCACTTCTACATTCTGATCAAATCCAGAAGGGTCTAGAACTGGACCATAGAGCGAGAAAATCCTCCATCCAGACTTGAGATGATCCAACCACAGTTTCTAAATTGTATCACGCGTCTTTCAAATGTGGAAGACATCTCCTCTCCAAAATTCCTGTATCATTCAGAACAAAATATATAACTTATTTTACCTGAGATGAGGAATAATTTGGTGTTTTGATTGTTGATTCTGCAAAAATCCATGCCGTTTCTCAGTCTGTGTTTGATTTTGATGTGATCACACTCTGCCTATTTCTGATTGGTTAATCTGCCTGCCAATCACAATATCAGACGTCAGTGTCATATTTATATCTCCTTACAAAACATTTCCATGTTGTTCAGATTTTTTTATTTTTTGTGACAATGGGAACAAGCGCAATTTGACTCTCCAGAATTTGATGTGACATCCCTGAACAAATGTTTATCACCTCACTAGTATTTTCTTTTTTCCTTATTCTCTTGTCTTACCCCTCTCTTCCTTGTCTCCTTTTCTCTCTCCTCTTCCCTCTCTTCCATCACTTCTTCGTGTCCTTTCCTCCCTCTCTCTCTTTCCCTTCCTCTCCCTGTTAGTTTTGAGTCCTCAGTTGAGTTCTTCCCCTCCTCTCCTCGCCTCAGTTCTTTTCCTTCTGTCAGTGGCTCTCCTTCGAGTCTTGTTAGTTCGATGGAAAAGTCTGAGCGCCGTAGACCTGCTCCTAACCCTGTGGCTCTGTAGATCGGACCAAACCCACAGACAGGCCCAGTCCCTGCTGTATGTATCTGAGGACAGAATCATATATTTCAATTATTTAAGATAAGATTCAACTTTTATGTCTCTAATAAGGACCTTAGATAGTGTGCCAAGTATTGACTTAATGGTGCACTGTGTAACTTTCTGGGTAGAGGGTCCGTCACCATGGAAATATTGTTGGTTTGCCTGGAATTTTTCACAGCATGATATTAAACTTGTCTATTTCCAACAAGCCAATTTACAGGTCTGATTTGTGGAGCGGTGGGCTCGCGTACAGTGGAATGCATGTTTTTATTGTTGTTTATTGTAATAAAAAAAAAACAAAAAAAACAACACCTAATTAAATAATAAGCAAGTTTAATGCCATACTGTGGTACATTTCAGCAAAAGCAATCTCCCTAGCATCTCCATGGACACAATCAGATGCTGGACTCTTACAGAAAAGTTGCATATATTGCACCTTTAAGTCTTGTCCTGGTCGATCAGTGTTGTTGGTAGGCCCTTAAATAAACTCAAATATTTCTGAGCAGGTGATTGTGTTCTCTTAAGATACAAAAACAACATTTGACTTGCAAAAAAAAAAAGTAAAATAGTTCTTGTCTCGATTGTCCTGCCAATGAACTGTGTCTGTTTATATAGAATTTCAACAGTATAAGCTCGCCCTTCAGATATTGATCCTTTGCAGTGGCACCATGCTGAACACACCTACTGTTGTTGTGCCTGCTAAGTCAGTTCTTTATTTACTTATAAATTTTACAGATAATGTTAAGACCTGATCTTTGTTTAACTTGAGTAACAAAGCTTCAGACAGAGCAGAGCCTACAGTTAACACCACGTCACCGATCTCATTCAGAGTGAACTCGTCTGGCTTTTATTTGCCTTGTGTGTGATTCTGCTTAAGCCCTTGTTGTTGCTCCATCCTGTGAAGTTTCTCCTCTGCTTCAGACACTCCTAAACTCTGTAAACATGCTGGTGTACATGATGCCCACTGTCATGGTAACACTTCCTCCTTTGTCTTGATCCATAGATACGAGGAAGAGTCAAGTGAGGAGGCTGGGACGGACACTGAGACTGAGAAAAAGGACCAATAGCTTCTTTTTTTTGTTTGTATGTATTTCTTATTCATGCAATGGTTTTTTTTCCACATCATTTCACTGAAGCCCCGCCCTCTACCTGCTGGTCGTTATGGGAACGGGGCTCATGTGCCTCAACGGGAGCCGATACACGGCCAGAACGCTTTGTCGGCTTCATCTCTGCTTCATGGACATGTTACAGGATCTGGACTACAAACCTTAGGGGTAAAGAATATATATTTATTTGTGTTGGAAAAATGACAGACTGTCACCATAGTTTAGAATAAACTATAAATACATATTCCCCATTCAAACTGTAGAAGAGGAATATATATTTAAATTTAATATTAGTCATTCTAATCTTGGATTTTTAAGAATTCTAAGATTCTGGCGGGCCAGGGCCCAGTGTGTCCTGGGGAGGCTGGATATAGTTTGAATGTTTCTATTATAATGGTCCTACCTATAATTTTAATAGGGGGTGGGGTCAGACTTTGTGCCATAAAATGGGGGGAGAAAAAATAGAGAATTGAGAAAACTGACTTCAGTTGTAAATGAGGGGATCAGGGATCCCTTTTGTTAGTCTGTAAAACACTTTGAGTTCCTGGTTCCTGTAATGTCCAAACCACTAAAGTGTTTGCTGTGTGAGATCTAGGAGGAAATCAAAGTGTTGCAAAAACCAAAACTATAAAAAACAAAAACAAAAAAACAGTATATTAAAAAAAAACTTTTACAGATATTTTCAGCCTGAACTTCTGTAGAACTCATTTGTTTATTTGTTGCAGCAGAAAAAGGGAAACTGCTCTGTGTTTGACGTAAAATGTTCATAATAAAAGTGAATGATCTTGACTCAAGCTCTTTTTTTTTGCTCTGGTGTTGAATGAACAGGTGAATGTACAAATTAAAATAGGTCAAGTCAAACGACTTTATTCACAACAGTTTTACACATTTACATTTAGTAAACTTATTTTTTACACTTTATACATTTAGAGAACTATTCGCTCTGGAGGTGTGAGCGGAGTCTGTGTTCTTGTTTGTTTTACCACAGCTCAGCGTCTGAAATATGCAGATGATTCAACAGCACTGTGCAATTTTACATGGTGCAAATGAACAAGTCTGTATCCAACCACAAATGGGTGATTGCATCTTTACCTAATGTTGTTGCTTTAATCCAGGCGGAGGAGCAGGTTGTTGTACTGTACAACTCTAACAGATATGAGAACTGAAAAATTTTCAGAACAATCTTTTTTTTTTTTTAACCATGACGTAAAACGTAAAATTCCTAAACCAGTGCTCAGACTGTTCATAATAGAACAATGTTTATAAAACTTTTTAAATAAAAACCAAACCAAAAGTTGCAAACTAAACACATTGTATTAAACTCTTAAAAACAAAACAATTAATCATAAAATACTTGATGGTCCTGTCACATCACTCCACACTGCCCTTAGATTGGTCAGGAAGACACAGACAGCTGCCGCAAGGTGCTCAGGTCCCGCAGAAGCCGTCGGATTCGTTGCTTTAGCTCCGGGAGGCGAGGCAAAGGGTCAGCTGACTCCAGCTCGTCCATCCAGGACTCCAGGCCTGAGACACAACAGTCAAATTAAACACTACGCAGTGTACGCCTTGGCATCAAGATGGCTCAAAAAGTTGGTTTCAGAATAACATTGAGGGTTGTAAAAGGAATTACATGATCATATATAAATTCATTGTTTTATGTATTTCGCACAAGTAAATGGTCCTGGCTTCATTTCAGTGCTGCCAAGGGTAATCACCACCAAATGTCTTCATACACGTTTTAAATCTTATTAAACCTGTGTATTCAGAACAGCCTCTTGAAAGAGGGCAGAAATATCTTTGACATTATTGTTATTATCTAAACAAACATGTAATTATGACAGTCATTTACCATCCAGCTCAGTCTCCATCCGCTCCAGGCGGTGGCAGATTTCCTGTTGCAGACTCTCAATGTGGTCCAAAAGGTTGAGCTCTGGACTTGTGCAGGTCTCTGAGGGTTGGGCCGGTCTGTGGTCCTGGTCTGGTTCTACTTTGAATTCCTCTGGACTTGCCTGAAACACAACAGCTGTATACAGTGAGATCAATGACAGGATCCAACAGCCAAGTTTATAAATACAAACATGTTTGTACCTGAGTTAGGGCAGGTTTCTGATAGCAGTGCTCACTGCTCACATAGCACACAACTTTGGGCTCCTCCCCTTCCTCACGTCTCCATGGCAACCTCCAGAACTGTAGCTCGGCCTCTGACCCGGTCCTGAGCACAAGAGGCATTTGGTTTAAACACTAGATGCAGAAACAGTACAAGAGATGGAGACTCTGTTTTTGCTCAATATTTAAGTGTATATTTTTACACTGATAGCTAGTAGAGTCATAAAACTTTGTCCTTAAGATGGTGAGGTCACCTAGAGCAAAGTATTTGTGTCTGTATGTGTGTGGAGGGTGCTACATCACATCGTACTCACTGCAAGAGGCGGAGCTTGAGCCCAATGGCTGCAGCTACCGTGGCGATAGTATGACTGTGTGCTAACAGACGGCGCGTATGTGCAATCTGCTCCGAGTTCTGCTCTGAGAAGTTTTCTTCCAAACATGACAACCCAAACATGTGACCATCCGTCAGCCAATCAGAGCAGAGCTTCCTCCTGTCCCTGGACCTGATAGGAGTCTGCGCTGAGCCCCGACAGGTGAAACATGTGTAGCTCTGTGGAAGGTGGTGCTCCAGGAGGCCCAGGCAGGTCCCATGCTGCCAACACTGGCACTGATCGCACTACACACAAACACACAAACACACAAAACAAATATAACATTTATTTAACCTGAGATAACATCTAGAATAACAGTTTAGTGCTTCACTTGTTTGTCATTTCTGCAGAAGTCTGAGCTCTTTCTTAGTTTTCTGTTATTTTTTTACTTTTTTATGTGTAAACCATTATGTATGTCTTCACACAAACGGACCACGTGTCTCTCTGCAGACCATGAAAGCAAACTGTAGTATACAGTATTTAGTATATAAAAGTGTTGCAGTTCAGACTGCACAACTAAAAATGGGAATAAATGCATATGACAAGACTAAAACGGGCATGAGGTGCACAGGGAGGTTGTTTAAAATCCTGAAAAGGCACAATGTTGTGATCAAGTAGGGACATAGCAGAATCTGTGTGGAGTATTCAGAGGGTCTCACCTGAATCATGAAGTCACTCTCCTCATTTACTTCACAAACACACCTGACAACATCACTCTCTGTCTCTATGGAAACAGGCCAGGTGGGCGTGTCCTCGCCACTCTCAGCCGTCAGCGTGGACCAATCACTGCCCTCCTCTGCACCTGGATTTATAGTGACACAAATTAACACTTCAGTAAGTACTACTTATACCTGACTGTTGGCTCCCTAAACAAAGTTTGATCCATTTAGTTTGAATGTATCGCACTTTCAGTTGAAATAGAAACCACTCTGTCTGGACGAGTCCCTCATATGTGTAGGTCTGTACCAGGTCTGTGTGGTATAGTACGAGGTCTGTGTGGTACAGTACGAGGTCTGTGTGGTATAGTACGAGGTCTGTGTGTTACAGTACCGGGTCTGGGTGGGCTTGTACCAGGTCTGGGTGGATCCAGGTTGTTGGGGACTGAAGGATGGTCCATATGTTCATCCTCGCTACTGCAGAACACTGAACAAAACCAAGACAAGAAAACATTGAAAGGCAAATGAAACAACTGGTTCTTGGAGCCCTCAGCCCTGATTGATTCAGGGTCTAAAGGATAGATCTGTGGCAAAGAAAACAGGGTAGGGATGATGGAGTACTACTGGAAAAGGACCATTAGACCAAAAGGACCATTAGAAGAACAGTCAGGTCAGTCAATCTTTGCAACTGCAAAGCAGACTGCAAAATAACTAAAGGGCCTCATCTTTCCACTACAGCTTTTAATTCTCACCTGTATGACTTCTCCTCTTTTTCTTCTTCTTCTTCTTTTTCTTTTTTTTGAGTTTGACCCGGAGGAAGTGCTTCCTGTCTCTAATGCGCTCTCTTCTTGTAGTTTTGCTGGGGTCTGTCTTTGGACCTGAGCAGATCCAGGATTTAGTTCAAACTGGGTCATATAGATGATATATTTTAGTAACTGGACACTGAATTAACCTGTCTCCACTGGGACTGTTTCCTCATCTCCATGGCGACAGGTGCCAAGATCCAGTTTAGACTCAGATGCATCAGAGATGCCCTCAGACGACAGCCGCTTTCTTCTAAATCAAACAGAATCACAATATGAGCCTGAGGCCGGAGGACATGCACACAGGAGCCCAACCCACAAACTCTGAAAAACTTGAGATAACCACTCTGCCATAGTTACTGTAGTGATGTTACAGCACAGTCACACAAAGTACCACTGTGATAAATATTTAGATGCCCAAATACCGCTTGGGGTACATTATCACAAAAAGAAAGAAAAAAAGTCTTGAGAACAACATCTTGAGGAAAAAATTACACACAGCATGTAATTACTGCAGTACTGTTAGTGTAGTTCAGGTACCAGTACTCACCTCTCTCTCGCTGTAGTTACTGTAGTACTCTGAACAGCAGTACTGTGGTAGTACTTTAGGTGGCAGTGCAGCAGAGAGCTCTTCCTGAAAGACTTTGTACAGTTTGGAGCAGGACATTTGAACTCGTTATGATCCAATTCAATAGAAAGAATAGGAGGAGGCTGCCGCTTTATCACTCTGTAGACTGAAGACAATATTTGGCATTATTTTAAAACCAGGTCTGAAACAAGTCTAAAACAACAGACTTGAACAAGGACTCACGTGGTTCTCGGCTGAACTTGTGGGTGGTCGGGAGGTGGGCTTGTCTCTCCAGCAGAACTTCTACAGACAAAACAGAGTTAGACTTCCATATAAGAGTTCGAAACACATGAGGACAACAGGCTGTGATTGGCTGACCTCTGTCAATGGGGGTGGGGCCTTGTACAATGTGATCTCCTGTGATTGGCTGATCTTGGTTGATGGAAGTGGCCTCTTGGGTTGAGTTTCGTTCACGGATGCGTTTCCGTTTGGCTCGAGCTGTGGTTAGAAGCTCCGCTCTCCTCTTTCTCTGCCTCTCGCCTGCATCCCTCGTCCGTCCCTCCTTGGTCTCATCCTCTTTACTTCCTGCCTCTTTGCCCCCTTGGTCATCAGCAGCAGGCTCCTTTCTCTCATCCTCAGGCACTTCTTTCTTATTTTCATTTAATTCTGGTAAATTTTCTTGATTATGTTCCTCCTTCACTATGTTTTTTTCTGAATCAAGTTTTTCATCCCTGTCTGCTACAACCTTGTCTTCTATACCCTTGTCTCCTAAGTCCTTGTCTCCTAAGTCTTTATCTCCTAAATCCTTGTCTCCTATATCCTCCTTTGTTTTGTCTCCTCCTGTGTCTGTCTCTCCACTGTACTTTTTTGCTTCCTCTCCTATGTCTTCATTTTCTTCCTTCTCTGCTAGTTTCTTCTCTCCTTCCTTCTCTACCTCCGAGTCACTGTCCCACTCTTCACTTGAATTGTCTAGTTTCCATTTCTGAAAAACAAAACAGACTTCAGTTAGGGGACAGGTTGAAAAGTTAGGAAGTGAAGAATTTGACAAAAATGTCCAACCAAAACTAGATGATAGTTGTAATTTTCACTGATATGTACCTCATCATAGGGTTTGATCTTGGTGGGTCTCACTGTACGAATTACTCCATCAAAAAACCTCACAGTGTAGGAATCTAGAACACGACAGCTCATAAAAGTCATGGATTTGTATTACTCACTTTACTTAAGACTTGCTTTTGACCACTCACCATCCTTGTTCACTCTCAAGATTTTGGCCGGGTAGAATTTACAATCAGTCCAGCACGCCATCACTTTAGAGCCAACACTGTACAACTAAGAAAACAAAGAGAAAAAAAGAAATCACTGAGTGCCCATTTAGAATGCATTAAAGAGCTAAAGAAATGATTTAGTAATGTTTACAAGCAAAGGAGAGTTTATAGGATATATAAATATTGTATATTTAATCCTATTTCTCTATTTAAAGTGCCTCTCAGTTTGAAGACGCAAGGGGGTTGTTAACCTGTTAACAAACTTGTTACTAAGTAAATAGTTAAATTCATGATGAGTCTTTTTGTATAAAATAAAAACTCACTCAGAGCTTGCTCTATTCTAACTCACCGGTTTCTGGCCGGTCTTGTCCAGCCCTTGTTTCCTCAGACTGACCCGGTCCAGTCCTCTGATGTGGGGGGAGTCCCAGTGGAACCATTCCTGGTACCGTTTGGACCAGCGCCGGTACTGGACAAGGACTTGCTGGTTCTCTGTGTCAAGCTGCTGGATCCTCCCAGAATACCTGTACAAATTTTTCAGGTTGAAGAAATCTTTTTTTTTTTTGTTGTTGTTGATGTTCTTTTTTTTTTTTTTGTTTGTTTGTTTTTCTAACTTTACCATTTGTTGTGCTTGTCACGAGCCTCCAGCTGAGCTCCTACTGCAAATGTGATGCCCGCTCTGTCTGGCGGAGTCTTCATCTGAAATATTGATAATATTTCATGTTTATTCTTCCCTTTTACCCAATATAGACATAGCTTCATTGTAGGTTTCATCTAAGTAACACTTAGCTTTGCTTTGTAAAAAGTTTCTAATAAAAATGCCATTAAAATTATTTCACAGGCATATAGCTTGCGTTATTAATATCGTTTCATTGAATATGATTGTAATTGAGCATATCCAATGAAAAGATATTAAACATAACGAAGGCCTCATGCCACACACTTTATCATAAGTGGCTGTTTGCCTGATATGATCCGTAGCAAGAAAAGGCCCGCCCAAAAAATGTGAGCGTGTCCCGCATCTTCACTCTGATTTGTCAGGATCATCCTGAGCCGAGTTCTGATTGGCTGTGACCGCTGTTTGTTAACGTGGAGTTTGACAGGAGCTAATGCTAACACAGTTTTGTCATTTTTACGACCGTTTGGCTCCAAAAAACTAATGACAGAAAGAAAATGCATTACGACATTTGAATAAGCGAGGATTGTATGAATAAAAGCACGGGAGAAAGCGTTAAAAACGTATTAAACTTTGACTTTAACAGGTTTACTGGAGTCAGAATGTAAGGGCTAAAATGCTAATGGCTATCCGTAGCAAAGTCGCATTAACAGCAAATTAAAGCTGAATTTAAAGTGGATAATTGTGGTTTCAATGACTGATGTAGACGCCGTGAGAAACAGCTAACAGCTGAGACTCATTATAGACCAAAAACAACCGTAATGACCGAAAAATAAAGAAAGAGGACAGCTTTACCTTTAACTGCTGCTGCACTCCGTTGACGCGTTGCGCATGCGCACAGGATAGGTCACAGAGATTTTTTTTTTTTTTCTTTTTTCTTTTTTTAGGGTAAATTGTTATTATAGTATATTAGACAGATTTTAAGGTTTATCCTTACTATTTTAAAACAATAAAACTTTTTAAAACCAAACGAACATTCCTGTAATGAACGTGTGCCACCAGCAGAGTGAGGCAAAGGATCCGGAGCATTGATCCAGAGACAGTCATGGTATGTGCCTCTATAGTTTCTCACGCGGGTGCACGGTGATCTATTCATGGGTTTCAGCTTGTTTATAGGCAACATTTTGATACCTTTTTTTTTTTTTACCATTCAAAATATATAATAGGCCTGTCCAGTTTTAAATTGTTAATTTTCATGATAATGGTTCTAATTTTTCATTATTTTGAAAACAGCTGATTGGTAGTGGTAGCACTGAACACTTGTAACATATGAATTACAACATTATGAGTGCGTGTGTTTTACTGAACTAATTCCCATTTTCAGTTAATTTAGATTGCTCATATTTAAGTTATGCCACAATATGTCATACAACGGATCAAAACTTTGTCATTCATTAAATGTAGTTTGGGTGTATTGTGTCACTTTCTATGTTCACTGTAGTAGCCTTGTACCATGCGTATAGCTATACATTTTACTATATGTCATGTAAAACTTAAAGACACAAGATTTTGAATTTAAATCCGGTTACATAAACATGACTTATCTGTGTCCGCGCTATGAGGGAGACATTCAAAGCTTTTACTGATAAGAAGTGTAATGCTAATTTATTCTTAATTACATAAACATTGCACTTGGACAAGTTTTCTCTGGTGTAAGTTGTTGTCTTGTTTCTCAGGATGATTATCCACTCAGAAAGCAGAATGAGCCTTGTGAATCTCTCCTCACAGTTTGCTGAAATTCAGTTGGTTAAAGCTAAAAGGACGCTCTGATATGATCTCCTCACTACCTAAACCCCAGAACCTGCAGACAATCATTATTTAGTGCTAGTGCAGCCTCTGCAACTCAATGAGTGTACTGCAGCTTTCACATGAGGCATGGCGTGTCCATTATAGAGAATGAGAAAAAGTAGTATGTGTCCTGTAATGCAGGTAATGGTACTGGCAACCCATGTTCAGTTTTGAGTCCCTTTTTACAAACAGTTAGAGCTCAAACTATACTGTACCTTTAATCTGATTTTGGATAAATGACCTTAGTGTTTATCACTCGTAATGTACATGGTGTAAAAGGTAGACTAAAATACAAATATGAGTTATAAACGAAAGGCTGAAATACTATGCATTATCATGGATCAGTATAAGCAATGAAACACACAACTATCATTCATACACATGAGGTTGTGTAAAGGGCCCATGTTACATGATTTTCTGATTTGTTATAATGTTGTTTCCCCATTTCAAACCATGCCTGGAGTTGTTCTGTTTCATTCACACACGTTTAAGGCACAAACCCTGCATATTTAGACTGCGTTCTTCTCTCAAACAGAAAACACTCCTGTGCTCCTCTGTGTTTTTAAACTCCACACACCTTCACTGGAATCATTTGGATAATTTCAGTCGTGGAATTGCCAATCTTTACTGAACAAAAAATTTAAGGTAGCTGTTAACTTGAAAACTACTGCTTCATGACATCACAAGGTGGAGTAGAGCATTCTGAGCGTTGGAGATGTAGATAGACGAATAATGCAGGATTACTCAGACATGTGTGAATGAAACGAAACACAACTCCAGGTATGTTTTAGAGGAAGTAACATCATTCTAACATGGCTTAAAGCTCACAAGAGTCAATATCTCATACTATAGGACCTTTAATGTTCATGAACTACTCTTCTTTAACCATAACTCTTGCTATTGTAGTTGTGTTAGGCTCTTCATTGTGATTTTTGGAGAATAGTTGTATGGTACATGTGTATTCTGTGTGAGAGCAGAGTGGTAGAATGCATGAGTCATGTTGGAGCTGAACAACTCCCTTCAGTTGCTCAGGATCACGTTACACACATTCCACAATACAAAATAAAAAAAAAGGATATACATTACATAGTTAGCCTATATAATACAACTGTGATGACTGCATTCGAAAAAGCTGAACAAACACAAATGAGGATCTGAATCATATTATACTCCAAGCACACGCACACATGAGTTTTCCTCCTTTTTGGGGATGTTACACTGACTTACATTCACTGGAGACTCATCCTAACTTCAACCACATTTACTAGTCTAACCTTAACCTTTTTAAACTCATATCTGGAGTTTAAACCATGTTCTTGATCTCATCTTGAAACATTTATGTATTGAGGGTCTAATTTTTTCCCCATAAAAGAGGCAAATCTCAATAGTTAGTACCGATTAGAATTCCCTACAATGTGATAAATACCGCCCACACGGACACTTACATACAGTATCTTACACATTACAGCTCTACAGTAGTGGAAGGTAACGAAATACAAGTAAATACTGTACTTAAGTTGAATTTTTAGGTATCTGTACTTTTACTTTACGATATTTTACAGTGGATACTTTTTACTTTTTCTTCACTACATTTGAAAGCAGGTATCTTTACTTTAAATGCCACTACATTTTTTGAACAGGACTGGAAAGTAAAAAGTACTTTTCATATGATTTTAGGGCTTGTTTTTACCATGTTTGTGGTAACATCCTGACTAACACTTTTCAGTCCAAGCTTCGACTTGCAAACAAACGAAGCAAACAAAGTAAACAAAGAAAAGTTAAGAAATTTATTTGTTTTGCAAGTGTTGACAAAAATCTGTATAACTTTTTAATCAATATAACTACTTTATTCAAATCTGTGTGAATTATTTTTACTTGTTACTCTGAAAATACATTTTTAAACAGGTTCTTTAATACTTAGGTAGATTTTGTGATTTTTCAAAAAAACTTTTATCTGAGAAACTTAGGCGTCTGTATCTGTACCTTTATTTCAGTAACAAAATTGAGTACTTTTTTCACCACTGCAACTACTGCTACTCAGTTCACACATATACACACACACACTATATACACAAAATTGGAAAATGTAAAAAAAATCTGTTTACATTTCATGGCGAACTGATCCACAAAAATGTGAATGTTGAATTGAATGTTTTTTTGTATTTTTGTTATTTGTTTGTGAGGCTATATACACAAGCCAATATTTACGCTTCTTTATACTTCAAAGATTTATTTATTTATGGTGCTTTCTCAATTGACTACACTTCTTTGCTTTCTAGTTCTGTCTGGTTTTCGAGTATTTTGTACATTATGAATATTATATATACCTATTTTATGTACTAACAATTAAAATTGAGAAGAACAATGAGGTGAATCATATCCTCACAAAGTTATTTCAGACTTCTGTTGTGGTGAACCATAAAGGAAACAAACATCAGTTATACATAGTGTTGTGGGTTTATCTGAGTCTAAACAGAGACAGCATTTAGCATCTGTTTGTCTCCAAAAGTTAAATTATGTTGTTTAATTGTGGCAGAAAAGACTGGGGTGTGGCTCTGGAGCTACTCTGCTGAAATATATCTAGAGATTTATTGTTTGTTTTATACGATTTATCAGAATCAAATTGCTCCCATGTTTTAGTTTTTAATCCAAAGACTCTATAATGGTCCTTCTTCTGTATCTGGACTAATATTTCATCTTTTTTGTCAGTGGGGAGTAGTCCGAGGCCAGCCCTGAAGATGTAGTGAAGATTATTATTAAAGGGCCCATATTATAGTATTTTCTGATCTATGTTTTAATATAATCACAAACATAACTAGAGTTGTGTTTTGTTTCATTCACATGTTTAACACACACACCCTGCATATTAAGGCTGAGTTTTTCTCTCAAACCAAAAACACTCCCATTTTGTGATTTCAAGTAGTTATAGAGGAAGTGCTCCACTGTGTTTTTAAGCTCCACACACCTTCACTAGAATGATTTGGATCATTTCAGCCCTAGAGTTGCCAATTTTTACTGAACAAAAGGTAAAATGACATCTGTTAGTGAAGCAAAATAAAAATCCAGGTATTTTTGTTATGAGGAAACGACATTATAACAGTACTTACATCTTACATGATTAAATTAATTAAATATAGGACCTTTAAAGAACTCCTGGTCCTCTCACATCCAGCCTGAGCCTCTCTCTGCTGTTCTGCATCCATCATGACTCAGTGAAAAAAGTGTAAGGGTTCAACATTATGTGTCAGTCTGTTTACCGGTACAGTGCAGGTGATTTCACAGTTTACACAATGTTTTGTCATAAAGAACACATTTTATTCTCTTTGCTGGCACTTATTATATACAGTATAGTATAGCATATAGTATTAAATGATAACATAAGCAGATCATGAGTTTACATTTTGTTCACTGCATTTTTGAGAACTCAAGATTGATCTAAAACAGCTTTTGACTTCCTGTTCAAAACTGCAGAGCTTATGGGCCCCACCTCTTCAAAATAGTGAGCAACAGGCATGACTACATGACATTTAAAATCTCAACATGTATCACTCAGAGTCATCATTTATTACATAATTGTAACTAAGTTCAGGGATGTGGGCAGGGACGGGGACAATGAATTTTTGAGCTCTTTACTCAAATATGTATGAATCAATAACTGTACTATGCTATAAACTTTAACTATGAGTAAGCATGTGAGAACATAATTTTAACATGATTATAAACTCATTAAAGTGGATTTTGCAGAATATGTCTGGGGTATATGGGGGTATTTTACTTCTGTGGGGTTTTAACTGCAAACACATAACATATTTAAATCACCATGTTATCTTTAATTGTTTTGAAAATGCTAAATTGACTGAAAACAACATATGAACATGTTTTATAAGTTTCCTTTTTGACGCTCCCTTTTCTGAGCGCTATCAAAACACCATCACTGTCCGTTCCACTAATGAAACTACCGCACATCACACCAGGTTTGTGAAGTTGTAGTGTACAGATTAGTATTATGCTGTATATTTATGGAGAATTGTTTTGTGGGAGCATGGGTGATGTAGGCTTGTGGGCTTAGCCTTGTACAGGATCATACTCGTAACTGCAAGGAGGGCCCGGTAGAGATCACTTAATTACTGAAACATGATAGCATGGGCTACATATTAAACCTCTACAGGTGATTTATTTTGCATAATACCCCGCCTTTAAATATTGCATTGTTTTATCTGGAGCTGCTGATAATGACATGTCTGATTCTACACCCAGCATCTGCAGAATCTTCCATCTCTACTTCATGTTCGTTTTTTGGATGCCTCTGAGAAAATGAGACAAAACAAAGGTAAAATCTGGTGTTTTTGGGAGAAGGAGGGAGGGTGGTGGACTGTGAAAAGTGACCATTCAAGCCTGAAAACACAACAACAGAAAAACAAAAGAGCATTTGGGGAGAGAGGAGAGAAAAAGTTGGGTGGTACCAGGCGGCGATCGGGAGGAACTGACTCCATGAGAGGAGAGATTGGGACAGTGAGAGGAGAAGGGGGGCTGCAGGGAGAGGGGTCGAGAGAAAGAGAGATAGAGAGAGAGAGAACTGAAGTGAATGTAGTGTCTAGAGAGGACTGGAGAGAGGAGAGTTGAGGAGTGTGCAGAGTGGTCTTAGGGGGAAGGATTTTAGGAGACATTAGTGTGTGCTGAATGTGTATGTTGTGTGTGAGTGTGTGTATGTGTGTGTGTGTGTGTGTGTGCATGTGTGTGTGTGTGTGTGTGTGTGCTTGGAGGGTGTTCTTAGGGGGAGCCTATTTCCCAACACCAGATATGAGTTATGTTGTTACAGAAACTAGAGCTAAAACAACACCTTCCAAAGACAAATGAAGACACAATGTGATGGAGAGGTCAGGAAGAGATTTCACAGAGAGGAAAAAAAAGACAGGAGGGTTAAATAGTCATAAGGAACAGTTTAACACAAAACACAAATTAGTATAGTGATTTTTGTTTTTCAACCTGATTATGAATACAAGCAAATTTTACTCCAGATGCCCCTCCACACACAAGTTATCTGCACTTAGGACTGGTGCAGAGGGAGGGACAGTGAGGTGCTTAAAATCTGTTCTCAAAAATTAGAAAAAGAGGAAAAAAATTAAACTCAAACATGTGTTGAGTTTAATACATGCAGTACCCCGCTCACATGGAACTGGGTGTGAACCAAACTGATCAGGAGAGAGAGAGAGGAGAGAGAGACAGGGAGGATCCTGTGTTGTTACAGCTATACTGGACCAGAATCAAGACCAGGGTCCTGCAAATCAAAGTCTATACCACATCCAGAGCAAGACAGGGTTCAGAACAGATAACAACCAAGAAAAGGCTTCTCCAAGTCCAGGTCCAGAGATAAGATATTAGAGATAAGTCCAAAGCAAGTCCAGAGGAACAAGATCTATAAAGATCAGACTGATCAAGACTCATTAGAACAGGGTTAACTCTGGGACCAAGCAGGATCTCCAGGACCAAAACTGAGCCCAGGATCAGCCCCAGGGTCAAGCATCTTTCAGATCTGGACTCATCTCTGGAGCTTGTGGACTACGTTTCTGAGGATGCTCTTCTGTGATGATCTGAGTGTACAGAGGAGAACCGTCTGGACAAGGACTAGAACAGAACCAGATCTGAAAGCAGGTCTGGACCAAGATGAACTTCTCTCTCTCAGGTATAAAGTCCGGGCTATGATTCCAGGAAGGTCAATAGTCCAGTCCATAGTTCTGGTCCTGGTTCTTCTGGGGTCTCTGGTGCAAGTGGATGGGTATCTAAATGAGGATCAGGAGGAACTTCTAGTGGAGCTTCACAACCGCTACAGAGGAGTGGTCCAGCCCAGCGCCTCCGCCATGTTACCTTTAGTAAGTTACAATTATTAAAAACACAAACTAAACTCAAAGTACAAGATTTACAACATGGTTTGCTTGTCATGTGTTCTCAGTTAAAATGATTCATATTCATCTCCAACATCTGCATATCTGTCTAATCTACATCATACATAGAGTTATTATCAATATCCGTCAGTGTAATATTTACAGGCTATTTTAAGTGAATTATTATGGATCTGTCTGCAAAACACTGGTCTATAGAAATACAATAATATAATAATTATAAATATATAATTTTTAATTATTAAAAATATTAAGCCATTGATAATTCTTTTGGAGCAGCCCAATGTCTTCTGTGTTAAACATACATTGTACGCACCAAGCAAAAATATCTGTTTATTTGTAACTCTTTTGACATATACACAATAGTCAGTCCAAAACCGTGTACTGTCACATATACCAGGTGTGGTCAGACCTGTAAAAAATACATCTAATACTCATTGGTGATGCTTAAGTAAATTTGGTTTAGAATCTTGATATAATTGATATGTTAATATAGTAAAAATGCATGTTTGTATAATATATATTATGAAATTATATGGTTTGAAGAACCACAAACGACTCTTAGAGACTCTGTAGTTAATGGGTGTGGCCATTATAGAATAATGCAAGAGGTCAGTACAGTGGAGTGGAGGTTCCTCTCTGCTGTGAGGGGACATCGTGCTCCTTTGGGCCTCATGAAACTGAACATATCTAAAGCTAATTTATGGCTGGGTGATTTGACAAAAATAAATTAACACAATTGTTTTAGTCAATAGGTGTTTTGTTTCATTAAATAGATATTTTTTCTTAAGTTTTGATGTATAGAAAAAAATTTATATGACAAGACACCAGCAAAAGTTGTAAAAATCTAAGATGACCAAAATTATATAGCTGAATGAGTTTGCTTTTGAACCCCACTTCATTGTATGGGGGGTTAAAACTAAGCGCTTATTGTTTTTACACAGGAGTCACTGAACATGTGATGAATACACCAATGACACATTTTAAACACCACTCCCGCAGGTTCCTGTTTAATGAGTGAGAAAATGTGATGTTGAATATACTCCTGAGTGTTGTGTGAGAGGAGGGTATGAGAGAAGGGAGTGAGTCAGCGTGGGTCTGATTGGATAATTGGATTTATCAGACTTAAATATTTGGAGTAAATATGTATAAGAGTCTCTATCAGTCTGGGGCTGAGTCACAACCACAACAACATCGCATTATTATTCAGGACCAAAACCAAACCAGTCCGGACCAGCTTTCAGGACCAGGAGCTGCTTTTGTCCTATCACATGCAAACTGCTGACTTGAATCCTTTTATGTTTACATTTTCAGAGGTTGAGAGTTTGAATCTAGCTTTCACTTGTTTAACCTGGCCAAGGCTCTCTGCCTCTTGTAAATGTAAATATGTGTGATTGGCAGGTGCATGGACCTCAGGTGCAGACTGGCCCCATGTCTGTACCACTGTCACTCCACCCAAGGCACTTTGGCACCATTAAAGGACCCATATTATGTGTCTTTTTTTGTTTTTTTTTTTTGTTTTTGTTTTTGTTTTTATCTGTGCTATAATGTTTCCTCATCAAAAACAGACCTGGAGTTGTGTTTTGTTTCATTCACACATGTTTAACACACAAATCTTGCATATTTAGGCTGTGTTCTTCTTTTAAACTGTCCCATCTTGTTATGACACGTGGTAAAAAAGAAATTCCTTGGATTTATTAAAATAACTATTCACAGAGCCACCTGCGTCGTGCTAAGATAAATCTATATTTACATATTAGACAGAGGACAAAAGATTACAGATACATAATCATAGACAGCGTGTTAAGACCTTTACGACAATGCAAATACCAAATAGCTTCTGTGTGTATAAAAGTAGGTGTTTGTATCTAAAAGCTAATGCTAATGCTAATGCTAACCTAATCTAAATAGAACACAAAACAACTTTATGAAAATACATTTAATGACAAGTCAGTTGTTTTACCGCTACTTTAAAACATCAGTAATTCATTTTAATTTCAGTTAGCACTAGGTTTGAGATAGAAGGACATATTTATCTGAACAGAGAAGGTTAAATATTGATTTATTTGAGCATGACTCGGCTAATTACCAATACATACACATCAACTGAGCAGGAAGTGCGGCTCCACAGTTTTGAGAGAAGTGGAGCTGGACAGGGCATGAATCTATAATAAGATAAGGGCCTATTACACCTTCACTAGAATTATTTGGATCATCTCAGCCCTGGAATTCCCCATCTCTGCTGAAGTAAAGATAAAAAGTAGCTGTTATCTTAAAAACTACTGCTTCATGACATCACGAGGTGGAACAGAGCATTTTCAGGTTTGGAGATGTAGACAGGTTAATAATGCATGATTACTCAAACCTGTGTGAACGAAACAAAACGTCACTCCATGTATGTTTTTGATGAGGTAACAACATTCCAACGCAACTCAAATCTCACATGCGTCAATTATGAGTAATATAGGGCCTTTAATGAATATCAAGGCTGTGAATGAGGTTGACACTAGTTTAATCCTGGCTTAGTCTTATTTTAATATTATAATGTTTATGGAGGGCGTCGCCTGTTGCTAGGTGGATTGAGCTCTGATGACATCACTGTGAGCACGTGTAGGGTCCCTCCAGACTCCAGAACCTAATGGGAACCACATGGAGCTGTTCGTAAAATGACATTCTATTCAGCGGACTCCACCTAAAGCAGTCCAGGACCTAAACCAAATCCAGACCCAGGAAACGAACCGGGCCCAGTTCTGGTTCAGGAGAACTCAGACCAAAACCGTGACTGAAATACAATGACTAGCCCTAGATCAGAAATGGATAAAATGAACTTAAAATGTGTGCTTCTTCCAAGTGGAGTTATGATGTAAGGTGCAAACCAAGAAAACTGAGCTCTCTGCAGTTTTGTGTGCATGTGTGTGTGTGGTGTGTGTATGTGTGTATGTACTCAGGTGAACCACAAGTCAGCCCGCAGCAATTATCTGATGGTATTCCTCACTGCAAAAATCTTTCTTTAAGTTTTTTGGTCTGGTCCGGTCTTGATGTTTGTGGTATGAGTGCATTGTAGTCTGGGAGTGAGATCAGATGGTCTCAGAGGGTTTGGGAGTGGCTCCAGATGTTTTTTAGGACTTTAACTCAAACTGAATAAAATAGTGACATCACAGTTTCATAACTACAGCTGAGTCCTATGGAGAGAGATGAACTTTTGAATGAAATGAAATGTTACGGCTGCACAATGTATTGCAATCAAATCGAAATCGCAAAGACTAGTTATTCAGATCTTATCATGTCCTCTGTGAATCAAAAATCCCGTATTTTTCACAGATAAACCTTGACGTTAAACATAAGTACTGAAATGCATGGGTTAACTATTCGTTTTTCAGTTAACATTTCAGTCTTCTCTCAAATTTTATTGTGATTAAGTTATTTATAATGAGCATTTTGAGTACTCTTCAAACACATGAACACAAATTTAATCACAATTGCAATACTAGAAAAACAAATACAGAAAAATCAAAAGTCTTAAAACAGAATCACTTCTAAATATGATCATATGGATTACGGATCTGCTCACTGTCTTTGAAATCCCTGCTTTAACATTATAATCCTTGTTAATCATTTATTTATGGTGTGTGTCATTGCATTGCCAGCAGAGGGCGCCACGATTCTAGTTTTGTGTGTGTGTGTGTGTGTGTGTGTGTGTGTGTGTGTGTGTGTGTGTGTGTGTGTATGTGTGCACGTGTTTACAAACCAGCCTTAACGGAAGACACATTTTCTATTTTCTTGATGTTTTTTGGATCTAGCTTGCTTGTGTCTGTTTTTAGTTTTGAATTGTTCAGAACTGTCCTACTTCTTTCCTGTAATGCAGTGTTGTTCACTTTCCTTTTTGCTAAGACAAACCTTATAGGACAAAAAAATATACATTAAAATACCAGTGCAAGCAAAGACACTGCTACTCAAAATGTGTTAGCTCAGACTGAACCCCCAACTTTTAAGTAAACAGATGTCTTTAACAGCTGTGTTTTAATGTCTCCCCCTGTCTTTCACAGAAGTGGGATGGGAACTTGAAGATTTTGGCTGAAAAATATGCAGCTACATGTGTGTGGAACCATAACCCAGAACTGGAGGACACTGGGGAGAACCTGTACGTTGGAACCGGAGAGCTAGATCTGGAGAGGGCTCTGGAGAAGTGGTTCCTAGGTCAGAAAAAACTGCCTTTATATGTTATAAATTTTGAACAGGTTTAAAGGACTATATGATATCGTCCCATGTACTGACTGAGCAGTAGACATTCAGGGCAGCAGAGTCTTGTTGAAATGACATGTAATTATCTTGTTTTGTGCAGAAAAAGCGGATTATAGTTACTACAACAACAGCTGTGAAGAGGACAAGATGTGCGGACACTACACCCAGGTCTGAGCCTTAAACCAACCCCCTAAAAACCCCTTTGAACTGGACTTAAAGTGGGACTAAACACAGACACCACATGTCAAATAGAGCAGCAAAACTGGGCAGGACTTGGAGGACTAAAGTGTGAGTAAGCAGGGAGGAGAAGCGGGGTTTAAACTTATAAGGAACAGCCAGGTGTTGGGAATCATACAAACCTGGCTGTAATGAGGGCAGTCCTGTTTGATGTCACATAGTACTTGAAATTGCAGAGGCCCCTGAAGGCAGCACAGACTGAGGAACAGTAGATAATGCTATTAGAACATCATATGAACAGTTAAAGGTTCACTGTGTAATTTTTTTGGTGGAGTCAAATGTTTTCTCCATAGAGATTATATGATATTTGTCTGGAATATTTCACAGTATGGCATTAAACCAGGCCAAGTTACAGGTCAGATCTGTGGAGAGGTGACCTCGCTCACAGTCAGAATGCCTGTTTTTCTAGGTATTTTTGAGCTGTAAAACCACTTGTAATTGAATAAATGTAAGGTAGAGCTGTTTAATGTCATACTGTGGAACATTACAGGCAGAGCAGTAACATCTCCGTAGAAGCAAGCAATGAAGTGACGGACCCCCAACCAAAAAGTTACACAGTGCACCTTAAAGTAGCAAAAAAAGCAAGTTTAGTGTTTAGTTCCACTTTTAAGAGACTTGAATATTCTGAATGTGTGGACACTTATTAAACTCCAACTTTTATTTAGTGGAGGATGTGATTCCCCAAATGTTGTGAAGGGATTTTCCAAAGAGATATATCCTAAACGTCACTGGCCAGACAGAGCTAACCCCCTCACATGTATTTAACCAGGCCTGGCACTCAGCCTAATGGAGTGATGTGGAGTTGTTCTCTCCGCTCACCACAAGGGGCCTAAAGTACCTTGAATCTTTGGATGTTGTTTTATTTGTGTTAATCTTGTCCTTTTAGATGGTGTGGGCGGACACACACAGAGTGGGCTGTGCAGTGCATCTCTGTGCTCAGATGGAGGGACTGGGCTGGTCTGATCCTACACACTTCCTCGTTTGTAACTACTTTCCTGCGTAAGATTTTACTAGTATTAACTAGCTACAGAAGTGCCAGTCATTTAATTCAGAAAATCTACTTCTTGTAATAACTGAAGTTCCTATATTACACAAAACTGACTCTTGTGAGCTTTAAGTCATGTTGTAATGTTGTTACTTCAGCAAAAAACATACCTGGAGTTGTGTTTTGGTTCATTCACACGTTTGAGAAATCTTTTATTATTAGTCTGTCTACATCTCTAAAGCTCAAAATGTTGTGTTCCACCTTGTAACGTTATGTAGTGATTGTTTTCAAATTAACAGGTACTTTTTATCTTTTGTTCATTAAAGATTGGTAATTGTAGCGCTGATCCAAATGATTCTAGTGAAGGTGTATGGAGTTTAAAAACACTATGGAGCACTCCTTACCTACTCCTCCTACCACATGACATCGCAAGGCACAACAGAGTTTTTTGTTTTTGTTTTAGAGAAGAACTCACTTTAAATATACAGGGTTTGTGTTTGAAACAATGTGAATGGAAAAAACACAACTCCAGGTCTGTTTTTGATTGTATTATAACATAGATCAGAAAATAGTGTAATATGAGCCCTTTAAACAAATTGGCCTATGAAACATTTTGCCCTGCTCTGTGTTTCTATGCCCATGCTTTCAGTGGGAACTACGAGGGAGAGCGCCCCTATGTGGAGGGAGACTGGTGCTCTCAGTGTCCAGAGGATTTTCAGAGATGCTTGAACAACCTCTGCGGTACGAATATTTAATCAAATCAGCAAAACACCAGTGTGACCATTTTCAGTTTGAGCACATAGTCACATATCAGACCTATTCTCCCCAAAGTCACAGCTCTGCTCCAACACACATGTTTGTACTCCTACACATCTGGTTATTGACCTGTAGGCAAAAAGCCCCATTGTGACTTGCAAGCAGATTTGATTCATTTAATAGTCCAGAACCAGTAAAGCAATTTATGAACTCATCCTATCCATTGTCGTTATGTGTGAGAGAGAATTCTCCTTCAGGTTTGAGTGTAAATGTGTTTGTTACTTCCAGCTCCTGAAGTAGAACCAACAGAACCAGAACCAGAAGAGGAGACAATTGAGACTGGAACAGCTTCAGTAGAAGAGCCGGATTCAGTGACTGACTCCCCTGTAGTCTTGGTTCCTGAACCTACCCAAGACTCAGAACAAAATCCAGATGAGAACACAGAGCCAACACCAGTGCAGGATACAGACGATCCAAATGAGACCATAGAGCAGGAGGCAGCGGTTCCCCCACCAGCTACAGAGTCTATTCCACCAGAACCATTGGTCACGCCAACTCCGGAAGAAACTGAGACTGGTTTACAAACTGAACCAGAGTCTGAAGACAAGATTGAACCAGAAACCCCTAAAGAAGATCCTACAAGAGGTCCAGCAGGGGGCGCTCAAGGGCACATAGAAGAGAAACAGAAGGTAACTCTGTTAACCTTAAGCTTGTTTTATTCCATGTGGACATACCAAGCCGACTGATCTCCGGTGCATTTTATGCTTGCTACATTCAGTCATATTTAGTATCTGTAAACATGGCAGCATCTCTTATGGAAAATGTATTTTAATGTAAAACATGTATAAAAGAGAACTACATGACCTTGTGAATGTTTGATCTCATCTCATCCCTGAGCTAAGAAGGTCTAGCACTTGGATGGGACACTATGGCAATACCAAGTGCTGTAGTGCAGCAACAGTGGCTCCAGTGAAACTGTTGCTGTGTCCTTGGGCAAGACACTTGGCCCATCTTGTCTCATTAGTATGAGATATATAATATATGGGCG